CCCACCTCCTGGCTCCTCCTTGATGCTGAGTGCCCCCACAGCAAGCCACTTGCTTGTGCGTGCTCACTCCTGAGCCACCTTTGTGTCTTCATAGACACACAGAGTGCGGCCTGGTTGCACTCCCTCCTCGCTGGCTGTGATTAACAGTAGTGGGAACCAATGAGGCGTTAGAGAGCTGAGCGAGCCTCTGCTCTTGTGCACATCGCAGGATCGAGATCGGGCTCAGGTGAGTATAAGTGGGGGCTGTGGGGGGAGAGCTGGATGCAAAAAGTTGTTTTTTTTTACTTTAATGCAGAGAATGCTTTAAGGTAAAAAAAACTGCTTTTAGAACCACTTTAAATTCACATCAATGCAGATGCAATTTGAACTTTTCACAGTGAGTTTTAATGTGCAGTATGCTGCAAAAGTACAGTAAATGAATGTTGGAAAAGTGTCAAAACCTTTGTATTTGTTCCAAGGCAGCAAAACAGCATTGTAGCTAAAGTATTAGAATGAAAGCAAGGGAAGGAACATTCTCAGTAGACACAAATCCAACACCTCCTGCGCTCAGGGACCCAGATCAGAAGAAGGCCAATCGAACAATATGATGAATGTTCATCCAACACTGATCAAAGGTTGTGCGGCTCAAACACGAAGCTGGGGAAGCTTGATATAGACTGTAGTAGAGAATATAAAAAATAAAGCGCACCAACCTTGCGCATTACCTCAGTAGGCAATTAATAATTTTATTGATAAAAATTATACTGACAAGAGTAGCAGTATAAAAGGCATATAACATCCAAAACCAAAACACTGGGTTAGGAGACATGTGCAAATCTCATCAGAGCTCTGAGGAAGATGGGACCCCCCTTTGAAACGCGTCAGCTTGACCAAGAGATTATCTCCCTTCTTGATGGGATTTCCAGATGTCTCCTAACCCAGTGTTTTGGTTTTGGATGTTATACTCAGGGATGGGGTTAAAGTCGGTACAATAGCCATTCTTGCATAGGTAAACAGAACTGCTATGTCATTTTTTCAAAATAAATGTAAAGTTTGTGCAAAACTCACTGTTTAACCTCTTGGCGCCGGCCGAACGCAAATGTGCAGCCTCCTGGCGTCTGGGCCTTGACGCTAACTGGCCGCACAATTGTGTGCAATTAAGAAAAATATGTGTGCTGAGAGCGTGCGCCCTGCGCGCTCCCAGCACACATTCAGGTATTCACAGAAAGGTCCCGATCTCCTCTTGCGATCAGGACCTGTCCCGATCATGTGACCGCCGTGACAGCGGTCACATGATCCTAAAACCCCACCCCTTCTCCCGGCTTCTGAAATCCTTAAAGGGCTGTGAGGCGCCGGCACCAAGCGGTTAAAAAAGCAGTGATGTTATTTTTTGCCCAGCTCCTTCTCGTATCCCCAGGCTGTGGGTGGAGGAATCTCAGAAGTGGCGACATCACTTCCTGCTAGTGTTTGTTGCCGCTCACTGAGACTACAAATCCCATCATGCCCTGGGATTTAGAGTCTTCAGTGGGCGGGACTATGGGTGTATGTGCGGCGGATTAGTAGTGAGTGCGGATCTGGAATATCCCAGCCCAACAATGAAACTATGAAGCATAGTGGGTGGATCAAACTGGGCAATCTGAGACTCCTGGATCCGCCCACTCGAGCAAGCAGCAACTTAGTTTGCATCACACTTGCATTCAAAGAACTACAAGGGGGAATGTACAAGACCGGTGGCTGGGGGAAAAAGGGCATATTAGTCACTGGTCTTGTAAACAGGATATGAGGGGGATAGAGAACCTTTCACGCATGAAAGAGTGCTGGATTTCTGACGGACAACAAGACTATACACAATACCACTGACAATTTATTGACTGTTATGGAAGCACCTGTACTTATATATAATAAAATGTTTTCCCGGAGTTGTGCTTTAAATAAAGGCAAAAATGTGTTAGTGAGTCAAGGAGCTTTTATTTGCATTCTGCAAAATAAAAAGACTTTCTGTACAGTTATGTAGCAATTATAACAGTTTCCGCATTGCAGTCTACATTTGGATTACTCTCTGTCTGAAATAATCAGTCTCGTTCGTAGCATTTTATATATCTACCACATACACACCATGCTACACAAAGAGCAATGGACATTATTTTAGACTGTCTACCTGGAATATACAGTGTGTGATTTTAATTAATAAATGTCATTTTACTAGTTATTTTATAAAAAGGTTGACAGCTTTCTCAGAACATGTTGCCTGAATTTTGGAAACTATAATTTAAAGTAATTGTAAACCCTCACCTTGTAAAACAACCAGTTCAGTTTAAAGTAGAAAGGAAAGGTAAAACATTTGTGTATAGATATAAAAAAACATTATAAATACCTTTTCCCCCCTTTTTATATGTAATTACATTCCCTCAGCTGCATAAGGGCTAGGGGAGGAAAAACAGCAGCACATGGATCTTCCCACTGAATGGCTGTGCAGGGGGTGGGGTAGTGTCAGGACAAGTTTGATCATTGGAGGAGAGCACACTGAGTTCCCATCACAGCTAGAGAACTGACCACACTGTGCTCTCCTGGCTACTGTGGTCAGTTTTTATTAGGAAAGCAGGGGGACTGGCAGGAACACCAGGGATTTCACACAAAGGAAGCAATACAAAGAGAACAGGATACTTTTTCATACAAGTACATGGTACAGCAGGCTCATATCGGCAACATGAAACATTAGGTTTACATATTCTAAAATGCTCTAAAAAATACTAAAAAAAAAAATGTGTTCAAAAATGATATATCTATTAGTTTGTAGGCACTTTTCTTACCTGCAGTTTTTCAAAAATTGGGCTTTGTCCAGGTGTACTGAGCTGTTCTTTACAGCAACAGAAAAGTTTTTTCAGTTGCATAGAAGTGCTCTGTCTGATGCCTTTGGGTACATGGTTTAAATGTAATATATATTATCCACTGTAAAATCTATTTCAATTTGTCAGCTTTGCTTTTAGGATTCGTGCACACTGTATTCTGTAAACGCTTTTTTCTCCCACGGGTAATTAGCAGCGGCAAAAAATGCAGTAAAAAGTAGATTTTATGCTTGTGCGTTCACACGTCTTTTGCTAATGCATTCTATTGCTCAGTATTCTGTGCATTAACGCGGGAATATGCCTTTGCATACAGGCGCGTAAAGAAGTGCCGTGTATTCTTTAGTAAAAAATAATAGGAAATGCATTTTTGGTCAGTAATTTACGCGTTCGTTTATTTGCGTGAAAATGCATGCATATGAGCAAAAACAATGAATTTTTACAAAGAATATATTGTGTGCACAAATGCGCACAACTACGCGTGAATTGATGCAGAAATATGCACGAATTCACACAAAGCAAAGGCCTGAAATTACGTCCAAAAAAAATAGATGCTCAAACATCAGTACTGTGTGCAAGAGGCCTTAATGTGCATTTAGGTGCTTTTGAGCATTTTTTTATGCTCAAATGGTCCTCTTCTGAACACAAAGGGGTTGTTTTTTTCTGCCTCTAAAACTCCTATGTGTTTATGGACATATAGGTTGACCACTTGCCTACTAGGCACTTATACCCCCTTCGTGCCCAGGCCAATTTTCAGCTTTCAGTGCTATCGCACTTTGAATGACAATTGTGCGGTCATGCAACACTGCACCCATATGAAATGTTTATAATTTTTTTTTCACACAAATAGGCATTTCTTTTGGTGGTATGTACTTGCCGCTGGGTGTTTTATTATTTACTGGTGATCTGCTGTGTCATTGGACACAGCTGATCACATGGTAAAAGGCCGCTGTGATTGGCTTTTTATCATATCACGTGATCAGCTGTGTCCATAGGACACAGCGATCACAGAGATTGCCGGGTGAGCACCCCCGTGGGCTTGCAGGAGGGCGCGTTCTGGGAGGACGTCATATGACGCCCTCCCAGAACTGGCCTGCCGTGGTCAAGCCGTCATTTGGCTATCTACGCTCGGCAAGTGGTTAACATGGTGGGGTGGTTAGAGGGAAAAAAAATGCTCAAATGCCTGTAATAGCAGCGGTTTTTGAACTCAAGTGTACATAAGACCTTATGGAATATTTGAGCGTTGTGAAGAAATATTTAGAATCTTAGATAAGCTTCTGCTACTAAGCAATAGTGATGGTGTAGACCAGGGGTGTCAAACTGGTGGCCCTCCAGCTGTTGCGAAACTGCAAGTCCCGTCATGCCTCTGCCTTTGGGAGTCATGCTTGTAACTGTCAATCTTGCAATGCCTCATGGGACTTGTAGTTTGGCAACAGCTGGAGGGCTGAGAGTTTGACACCCGTGGTGTAGAAGTTTGTGACCTATGGCGTGAACTGTAAGTTACCTTGGTATCTGTACACATATTTACTGTAAACAAGGTGTGGGAGATTGGAATCAAGATATATCAACAGATAATTTGTTTGATTGTAACAGTATGACTCCACTCATTCTCCAACTGTCTAAAGTATATTATCATATTATAAAATAAAAAGTGTTACTATATCAGTGAAATATTTATCTTAAAAAGTAATTTTGATACAACTTGTACATTTATTTTGGCATGCTGGTTTCCTGATTGTATATCAAATGCAGATTTTTATTGGTGATCTGTTTGTCAGGCAATTTGACCTGCCTCTCTGCTGAATAACTGGATGTTGGTTTCAAGATATGGAAAACAAGAACATATAGCAGGCTTTTAATACTTTGGGCCTCTAGTGAATGGGTCATAATTTAAATAGGCTAATATGTGTGCAATAAAAGTTTTCCAACAAACCACAATTATTGTGCAGCACAACTAAACAGGAAAATGTAGCCTGCAAACAAATCAGGAGGTCTACACTTACATACACTCACATGTATTCAAAGAAACAAGTTGATAAAATGATGTTCAGCTGATTATATTCAGCGTTCGATTGCATTAAACCAGACAAATTTGTCTGATAGAAGTTTTTCTTTCTCTCTTAAAAGCCATTGGAGGATCATTTTGAATACAATGCAGTTTTGAAGTGTAGTGATCACATGTGTAAGACTGTGTTTTACCATCTCCAGGATCGCTGCCTAACTGGGAAACTGGAACCTGTGTCTCCTTCAAGCCCGCCACATGTGGAAGGAGATTTGGATTTGCTACCCACTCGCCTTTCTAAGGAAGAGCTGATCCAGAACATGGACAGGGTGGACCGTGAAATCACCATGGTGGAGCAGCAGATCACCAAGCTCAAGAAGAAACAAGTAAGTTTATTTACATATTCCAGTTGTGTCAGTGTCAGACATTTAACCACTTGACCTTCAGAAGGTTTTACCCCCTTCATGACCAGGACATTTTTTGCTATTTACCACTGTGCTACTTCAACTTGCAATTTCTCTGTCATGCAACACTGTACCCAAATTAAATTTATATCATTTTTTTTCACACAAATAGAGCTTTCTTTGGGTGGTATTTAATCACCATTGGCGTTTTTTCTATTTTTTTGCTATATAAACGGATAAAAAAAACAAACAATTTGAAAGAAACATATTTTTAGTTTCTGTTATATGATTTTGCAAGCAAATAATGGGTTTTTTATTTTACATTTTTTTATTTTTTACATACTATCATCAATGCAGTACAGCATCATCATATGACTGGTGTGGTGGTTATCAGGGATAAAAAAAAAATGTAAATCATTTTTCAATTTAAAAACATTTTTAAACTTTCTTTTTCTTATTTTATTTTATTTATTTTTTGGATACATACTGTCATCGGAGTAGTTCTGTGTCACCATACTGTACTACTGTTAATAATATTGTGTGAGCGTGTGTGTAATATAATTATATATACAGTGCTCAGCATAAATGAGAACACCCTTTTTGAAAAATAAGATTTTAATCAATATCTCAATGGACACAAGAACAGTTTCTAAAATTTTCACAAAACTGAGTTTTTTAGAACATTTGTTTAGCTCATTGCATGAAAGTTAGGTTAATAATATATCTTAGATTACAAAATCTTCAGTGTTATTCAAATTAATTAATACTAAAATGAATACACCCCACAACAAAACTACATCTAGTATTTTGTATGACCCCCTCCATGATTTGTAATGACAGCACCAAGTCTAGGCATAGAATGAACAAGTTGGTAACATGTAACATATTGCAATATCTATCTTTTTCCATTCTTCAAGAATGACCTCTTTTAGAGGCTGGATGCTGGATTGAGAGTGATGCTCAAACTTGTCTCTTTTTAGAATTCCCCATAGGTATTTGATTGAGTTCAGATCAGGAGACCTACTTGGCCACTGAATCACTTTCACCCTGTTCTTCTTCAGAAATGCAACAGTGGCTTTAGATGTGTGTTTTGGATCATTGTCATGTTGGAAAAGTGCACAACGACCAAGGGCACAGAGTGATGGTAGCATCTTCTCTTTCAATAAAGAGCATCTGTGAATTCATGATACCATCAGTGAAATATAGCTTCCCAACAACAGCAGCACTCATGCAGGACCACCATGTTTCACTGTAGGCACCATGCATTTTTCTTTGTACTCCTCACCTTTGCTGCGCCATACAGTTTTGAAGCCATCAGATCCAAAAACATTTATTTTGGTCTCATTACTCCAGAGTACAGTGTCCCAGTAGTCTTCTTCTTTTTCAGCATGGGCCCTGGCAAATTCTAGACGGGCTTTTTTGTGCATGGGCTTTAGGAGAAACTTATTTCGTGGAGAACACCCATGCATGCCATTCCTGCAGTGTAGGCCATATTGTGTCATGGCAAATAATCACCCCAGTTTGGCTTTCTACATCTTTATCTAACTGCAGTGAGCTTTCATGGTGATTCTCTTCAATCCTTCTCATCAGAAGACACTCCTGTCAAGGTGTTAACCTCCGTGGACGGCCTTGACGTCTCTGTGAGATGGTTTCAGTTCCATCTTTGTTAAATTTTTGTATCTCTTTTGCTACAGTATTCTGACTAATAAGTAAAGCTTTGCTGATCTTCTTGTAGCCTTCACCTTTCTTGTGGAAAGGAATTTTCTCAGACCTTGTGACATTTCTCTTCCATGTGGTGCCATTGCTGACGGCATGAAATTGGAGGTGTTTTTTTTGTTAACATCCTTTTATAATCAGCTGTCTGCTGGACAACTGTTTAATGAATAATTAGACTCAGCTGTAGTTGAATTCTTGGTAATCATGATTTTGTTGTCCTAAGACTTTCATTGGGGTGTATTCATTTTTTGCAACATGGTCTTAAATTAATTTGTTAGGAAAAATACTTTTTTGTATAGTTTTTTGTATGTGCAAATTACCAAATCATGTTTGCAATCAATAGCTGGCATTTGTGGGAGTACTTTGTAGTATAGTGTCCCATAGAAAATTTTTATTCTGAAAGTAAAGTAAAGGTTTTCTGACAAATCTGTTGGAGTGTACTCATTTATGCTTCGCAATGTATGTGTGTGTGTGTGTGTGTGTGTGTGTGTGTGTGTGTGTGCCAGGTGCCATACCATGTGATAGCTGTGTGGCTTTCATGGCAGCTTGCTTATTATTGTAATCATTTGATCGCTATGATTGGTCAGCTGTGAGTGGCTGGGTACCAAGCCCCATGATCTGCTGTTTCCACTGGACACATCGGTCACAGGATCACGCCGATGCATGCCTCAGGGGACGAACTAGTGCTCATGTGCCTGTAGGTACCACCCGCCTGCAGTAAATGTACTGTGGGCAGGCAGCAAGTGCTTAAACTTGTAAGTACATTGTGATTAACAACAAATGTATATAATTTAAATACACTGTGTCTCTTAGAATTTACAGCATTTAAAGCCCCTAAAAAGTAAAGAAGGTTTGAAAAGTTCAGAATTCAGTAGTAAATAGTGCAAAGTTCAGGAGTCAGTAGTAGTTAATTCAGAGGTCAGGAGTAAGTAACGCAGAGTAACGCAGAATGCTGAGGTCCGTATGTAATAAGTAACACAAAGTTCATGCAGTGGCTACTTATGTGCATGGTCTAGAGTGGACCTGTGTGTACTGTGACATGCCACCCCGAGTCTGGTTGTTAGTATTCCCCCAGTACACAGCAATCCCCCTCTGCACAGGATACACAGGATAAGTTATGCTGCTGCCCCAGAAGCTTCCTTGTTGAACCTGCAATAATGACCAGAAGAAACAATGCCTGGTGCCAGTCATTCCTGGTACAGCAGATAAATGCCCATTACTTGCCTTAATCTTCTGTCAATGCAAAGTACAATAATTGCTACACTGGGACACTGTGACGTACTTGAGAAAAGATAGTTGGGTCTGCAGTTAGGTCTGTGTGCTGCAGGGCGAGTGGGAACGGAGTTACCATGAACTCTCTCAGAAGCTGGCAGAACTACTAGAATCCAGGAATATACTAGGTGCATGCTAGATCCAGGCCAGGTACAGACTAGATTAGCAAGTAGATGATGAGACTAGTAGCCAGACAGGCACAGTTTGCCCTTCTCAGGCCATTCATAGAGGGTAAGCGGGTTCCAGGTATGTGGGTGAAACTGGGTGCTACACAAACAGTAGCCATCAAGGCTTCTCGGTAAATCTTCCCCATGATATCCACCCTTATTAGGTTTGGTGTTGCAGGGCAGGGTGTTGTCATTGACGGTGATGGAGCTGACAGAACAGCTTGTTAAAGAGATCGTGTAAACAGCAAATTGGGCCACAGTCTATCAAATTCCTGTGGTCTTCCTCACAAGATCGCAGACCCAGATGTTTATACCATCACAGTATAACTAAAGGAGATTGCATTTTCGCATTGAAACAGCCAGGTTAGGTTTACTTAGGTTTAACAAAAATATTCCAAATTATGTTACCGATAACTATTACAATCTCTCCCAAATGTTTTCACTGCATTGGACCTTGTGTGGATGTGAATCCATGCAGACTGCTTTACAGTTCTAAACTCTGTTAATTGAGCAATATATTCCAGGATTCATTTAACTGCTTTAATTACCCATTTAACTAATTCCGTGTGTGTGTGTGTGTATGTATGTGTGTGTGTGTGTATATATATATATATATATATATATATATATATATATATATATATAAAACTTTTTTTACAGAGATAACATTATTTCTACTATCTCCAGTGATCATCTCTGCTGATCTCTTTGATGTATTTATTTGCTGTGGTTATTAAAAGTATTCACTTTCTGTTTTCAGGTTTTATTGTAATTGAAGAGCAGTGAATTTAATTTTGTTTTTTTGTTTTTTTACACTGATCAATAGAAGCATATTCTTTTATGTTAAATGAAAACAGATTTCTGCAAAGTGATCTAAAATTGATTACAATGTTACTATTGGGAAAAACGAAAAACTAAAAAAAAAAAAACCCCCAACTGTATATGTACTGTATATACCCCCATTTAATAGGACATATGTGAATCATCACTGGTACAGCCAATTGTTTTCCAAAGTAACACGAGTTAAATAGAGATCACCTGTGTGCAGTCAAGGGACTTGTAGTTTAAATATACATCTGGAGGGTTCAACTTCTGGTGAGTTGATATTATGGCATAACCTACACCATTAAGACAAAGGAGCACTTCATGAACATCTGAAGCACATGGAGTACAATTTAATCATTTATGAAGAAATTGATAGATGATAATAAATCTTCAAAGAACCGGCCATCTATCAAAAGTGAGTGACTGTACAGGAAAGAGACAAGTGCAAGTGCACCAAGAGACCTAGGACAACTCTGAAGGAGTTACAAGCGTCAGTGGCAACTATTGCCCAGACACTTCACCTGTCACAGCTTCAGAGAGAAGTGGCAAAAAGAAATCCACTGTTAGCTAAATCTCTTCTGACATTTTGCCTACAGTTTCCAGAAGGTGTGTGGGAGACTAGAAAGTCAGTTGAAAGAAGGTTTTTTAATCTGATGAGACCAAAATGTAGCTTTTCAGTCATCATGCTAAACTCCTTATGTTAGGCATAAGCCAAACACTGCATATCATCCTAAAGATACCACCCTCACAGTGGAGCATGGTGGGGCATCATCATGTTGTTTGGATGCTTCCATACAGTAGGCCTTGATCTAGGCTTGTGAGAGTAGAGTTTGAAATGAGTACAATGAAATTGCATGGAATTTATAAAGAAAAACCTGATGTAGCCTGGTAGATGACTTGCCTTTCAGAAAGACAATGACCCAAGAATAAAACTAAATAAGAGCTGTTAATGTCTTGGAATGGCCATGTCAAGAGTTCAGATCTTAACCCAAAGGAGAGTTTGTCACTATTCACTCATGATCCCCCAGAAACCTGACAGACCTGTAGGAGTTTTAC